AAACTATTTAGCAGATTAAAAAATTTAAAAATGAAATATTGATTTTCATGAAATAATTCTAAATTCTAGAAATGAATATACAAATAAAGAACCACAAAAACCTTTTAGAAAAGAGAAACTAATATTCAAGACTTATTAAACCGTATATAGTACATTACAGTCACTGATAACTGCACAAATATGAAGTTGATACAAATTTAAAAACTGCATAATGTGAAAAAATATGTATTTTTTGGTTTAAATCTGATTTTTGTTTCTTGTTGAAAAGATTCTCAAAAACTTAATCAGTTAAGTTACTTACCTGATTTCTTCACCTGTTAAACAGTGTTCGTGACCACAAAGAACCGATGGGTTAAAGGTTAAAAGAAACTAAAAAATGAGAAACTTTGTGTTTGAATTTATTTTATTTTTGCTCTCTGACCCACTGATCTGGTTTCGAATGGAATGGAAGACGTTCAGCGTTTGCCAGCAGAGCTGCAGCACCATCTAGTGATCAGACAGAGATGTTCCTAACCGGCCAAAAAACAAAAAAACAAACACAAACAACAACAAATAAAACATTCAGTTCATGTGATGAAGGCTTGAAATGCAGAACAAGTTGAACCGGTTTCAATGCAAATCATGATGCACTGTCAAAAAAAGAAAAATAAGCCTGAAAATGATAAAATCATACATATAAAATGAGCCAATTCAATGCAATGGACAACCAGCAGTGATTGATGAGATTTTATTTGGAAAAATAAACCGATCAACCATCACTTTCTCACAGTGAATACAGAACATCACATCATTATGACCACTGAGATCAGGACACAAACAGTTCACAGTTCTTATCTGCATTGATTAGAATGAAGTACATTCATTGGTCTAACATGGGTCTGAGTTAATATAAAAACATTCAGGATTCTCAGCTGATGGCAGGCGTAAGAACAACGTGATTTACATGCAAACAAGAAGCAGCTGTGGAAAATGATCCAGGAAATGACAAAATAAAAGAACAAAAACAGAAACATTTTGTTCGCAGCGACTCTCTTTCTCCTGCAAAATGTTTCACCAGCTCATTTTGATGCAGCAACTTTACAGAAAAGACGTGGACAGTTAGAAAATAAGACGTATTTCAAAAGCTTTGGCAAGTTTTGCTTTGAGAAGAGTTGACATTTGGCCTGATGCAGACTTGGTGGCCAAAAAGGTAAAACTGCACAACCAGATTTACAATTAATAGAACGGTCTCGCTTTTAAATACTGCAGCTGACCTTTTACTAATCCTCCTAACAGCACCTGTCAAACTGCAAAGAGACAACACCAGGGTGGGGGTTCATGACCAAAATGTCAAGCCTGTCCYCCGGACAGAGCCATTCCAGAAAACTGAAGCTGCTCCGAACTTGTTCTGAAACAAGTAAAGTTGTTGAAACTGTCAGCTTGGCTTGTTTTTCTGTCAAACTCACACAGAAACTCTGTCAAAAGTTAATTTGATCTTAAGTTTATGGTTAAAAAAGAAACCTCAACTGTGA